ATGAGATTTAAGTAGTTATGCATTGCTGAACTGGTATTCATTCCAATTTTACGATAGCCGTTGTTTTCGTAACAATAAAAGTTAAAACCCTTTTCATATTGTGTCTAAGGCAAAGTGACACAAGAAGTAGTTTAATAAAGAAGTAGTAATTCAAACTGCCATTGAAAATCCAATGCCCTTGCAGGCGAATGCGGTACTACAGGCAGGTGTACCCATTCCGCTCCACCTGGAGTTATAACGACGTCATGTACACACTTGCCGGGCACGTCGCGGAAAGGCTTGCCGGAAAGTCCTACGAGACCCTCCTGCGAGAGCGTATCCTACAGCCGCTGGGCATGGACGACACGGTGTATTTAGCTGAGGCACTTGAGGCTGGAGACTTCGCAAACTTTGCTCAGACATACCTCACCTACAATACAAGTGGCGAGTCCGAGACCCGTAGTCGTGAGGAGTACAGGTACGTGTGCGTGTGCGTTCAAACGGCACTCATTTCCACTGATAAACATACCTGTCAATTTTGACGTCTTAAGACGGCACATGTGTAAATGGATTCAATCATATATTGCCATAGGTCTGTCAAGCTACATCTTCCCGCTGCCGGTGTGGTGGCCAACGCCTTGGACATGGCCCGGTACATGAACTTCCACCTGAGCGGGGGGAGGGACGAGGCCAGGCGCCTGGTGGTGCCGGAGGACACCTTACGACAGACCCACACGGCAGACGCCATCGTGCCCCCGTACAGCGACAAAGTCGAACCGTACTGGCCAGTCGAAGCGTGGCTGACGCAAGGCTATGGGTTTGGCTGGGTTACCGGCTCCTACAGAGGTATTTGATATTTACATTAGGTCAGTGTTGTGACTGATGTTGTCAAAGTTCAGGCATCATCTCGTAACATGCTTGCAAGCTGCCTAAAAACTATTCGCAGTGGCTTCTGAAGAAATGGTGAACAAAATACTATGATTTGTTTCAAAACTAAAAGCTTTGATCATGAGTCTGCAATTTTAAGCGTCGACTTATAAAAGACAACGAGTCCATAAAGATATCGTAGTTGCGGTTTACATTATAATGGCATTACATCCATCATACTCACGGTCCTCATTGTGACACCTTTCTATATATAGCTAGTCCAACATCGTCATGGTGTCGTTGTCTGTACTGTACATGTATGTGAACGTAGCATATCTTCTAGGATTGTTTTCAAGTCGCAAATGTCCGGCATGTTCTATGCAGGCTACAGACGAGTTCATCACCGTGGATCTATGGTAGGCTTTACATCACTACTGTCCCTCTATCCGGCCACATCAGGAGGTGTCTTCACAGCCATCAATAACGCTGACGACACAGGGGCCAATGACGTCCACGATACCATTCACTACCACGTTGCAGATATTCTCACAGGTACAAGTTTCCTTCTGTTGGTAGAAGAAAAAAAGAATCCACCACATAGCTCTAAGCATGATTTTGAAACTATATATAGACCAATAAGAGATCTCACGGGAAAAAGAAGGAAAAGAGCTAGCTTCAGTCCGGGTAGCCATGATCATGACATTCCTACATACTCATTGATAGGAAAGGACCACTGGTTGAATTCCACAACGGCCTGCACGTATCCTGGACCTTGGTGGACGAAACGACAGACCATGAGGACGTCGACAGTCGGCCCTAAAATCTCGGACAACTTCCCGCGAGACAAACGTGACTACGAAGGAGTCTACGGCAACCGTGCGACAGGCAACCTGACCATCAGCCTGAACACGACCGACGGCAACTTATACTTTAGTCTTGGTGATCGGACGGGGTCTAGTTCTCCCTACCGACTCTCCTAACCGCCTTATCCTCCGGGCTGGAGAACCTTTAGTATATATCCCCAACATTGTTGCCGATGTAGAAGACAAAGATGATGACATCTTTTCTCTGCAACTAGAAAGCTATCCTCCTGAACCCCCTATCGTATTCGAACGAGGCCTGAAGCTGACCGACCCGGACCCTACAGAGCCGAAATGGGACGACTGTACCGTCGTCTCTGGCTCTTCGAACCGCGAAGCTTCGAGTAACATATTCATGATTTTGATCCTTTTGGCTCTGTTTACCACCTAATCTGATTCACAAAAGCAGAAGAAGATCAATGGGCCCCTTTTGGATGTGATATGTTTCCTAAGTCACCGACACTAAGTCACCTGTCATAATGATATTTTCATATGTGCTAATGACACAAATATAGTAACTATACTTATCTCCTTGTCAAACATTACAGGGATGTGGAACCGAATGAATATAGGACTTAAAATCAACTGAGCTATCAATGATTATACAGAGAACTAGAGTTACACAACTTCATACCTTTATGACCAACTGATTATGAATGTTTTACATTGATTGATTATGCAAATGTATGAATTATCTATCTCCTTTTGAAATAATGTGCGAAATCGACGTACGAAAAATAGATGATTTGTCAAGCAATAAAGCCGGTATCTTATAACACTTATCATTGCATTGAAGACGTCAATGTGCTATATATGTAATTATAATGACATAACTCGAAATGCAAGTTAACTTTGGTCCATAGTTAACGCTGGGCTCTCTTTCTCAGCATGTGCCCGTCTCTTGTCAATCGTGGGTAAACACCAGAGTGTACGTTTCAAAGTCCATCAAGGCACACCCACAAAGGAACGACGCGTCATTAACTCGTGATACAATAAACTGCGTTGTTTGGTGGTCTGCAGTGTACCTTGTCGCGCAAGATGGGCACTACTGTGCATATGGTCCTTGTGGTCTGTTTCATGCTATTCGGGCAGACTTTGACCATTTTTAACTCGGATGTACAGCAGAGGCTACAGGATCTGGACACTTTCATCCAGACCCTGATGACATGTGAGTCCAGGCCTGTAGTCGGACTGACCGTGTCCGTGGTCAAGGACGGTGAGACCGTTTTCGCCAAGGGGTACGGCCAGAGGGACCTGCAGACGGGACAAGCTGTGGACAACACGACTCTGTTCGGAGTTGGCTCCATCTCCAAGTCCTTCACCTCAGCCCTGTTAGCGGCCATTCTCGGGGAGAGGGAAGACGTGAGCTGGGACACCGTCCTGACGGACATCCTGGGGCCGGACTTCAGGTTCAGAGACCAGTTCCGAACCAAAGACGCGACCTTGAGAGATATCCTGGCGCACAAAACCGGCATAGAAAACCAGAATCTTGCTTTGACAGTAGGACAGGATTTCGACAGATCGGAGCTGGCAAGGTGAGCTAAACAATTCCATTTCAGCTGTTAGAAAATTCAGTAATATGTATAGCCATGTTGAATGGCTATTCACTGTATTTAATCATTAATTTTGGCTCCTACGTGCTTAACATGTACATAGAACAGGTTGTCCAGTTACTGCCTCATGGCGATGTGTTAAGACGTTGATTATGTGTCTTGCAGACGAATACGGTACTACAGACAGATCTACCCATTCCGTACCGTCTGGCGTTATAACAACGCTTTGTACACCCTGGCTGGGCACGTAGCGGAGAAGCTCACAGGGAAGTCCTACGAGGCCCTCTTGCGGGAACGAGTATTGGGACCACTGGGCATGAACGACACAGTGTACTTGGCCAACGTCCTCGATGATGAAGATTTCTCCAATTTAGCCCAGACGTACATGACCTATAACAGAACAGGTCAATTTGTGGCGTACAGTCATGAGGAGTTCAGGTAAGCGCTGCCTAGTTACTGTGCCGTTTCAGTGATATCCAAACAAATGTTTTTGCTACCTTTGATGCTTTTTCTAGTACATGTATTGTATTTTCAAGGGTTCACCTCAGATATGCTAACATCTGGAGACTGTCTTTTCATAGCATCTACGTCCGGATGAGATCAACATGCAGAAGTGTTCATTCATGTTACATACAAATATTCGTTCAAATTGATTTGCCATATGGAGATAAAATAAATTTAGAAATGTGTGGTATGTTTTTCTTTGTAGGCCTCTCAAGTTACATCTTCCTGCAGGAGGTGTGGTGTCCAACGCCTTGGACATGGCCCGGTACATGAACTTCCAGCTGAGCGGGGGGAGGGACGCGGCCGGCCGCCTAGTGGTGCCGGAGGACACCTTGCGGCAGACCCACACGGCAGAGTTCACCTCGATCAAGTTTGACCCCGACAAGCTTGAACCTGACTGGCCAGTAGAGGCGGGGACGGAGCAGGGCTACGGGTTGGCGTGGTTTGTTGGCACCTACCGAGGTACAAAATAGTCACTGATGTTAATTGATGTAATCCACGCCCACGCTTGAACTTCCATGCACATGTAATGCTGAGGTCACATTTCCAAACCGGGGCCCGGTCGGGCTGTTTCGATTAATGAAAAATCGACAATTTATATCAATAGTATACGGAACTAGTTCCCAATTATTATTTTTTCCAACTTTTGTGCTTTGTTGTCTTTTATAACCTACTTTTCGTTCCTAAGACTGTCCGGCCGGGCCCCGGTTTGGAAATGTGACCCCAGCATAATCAAGGACAGAAGTCTTTCATAATTTGCTGTTGGAGTAGTTTGCGATGCTGTCTTTTAAAAGATTAACTACTAGCTTTAAAAGCAATGCTAAGATGATATAGCAAATTTCCAATCAACTTAAGTGGCTTAACGATTGGTAAAAAGCGGAAATCCAGAGTATTACATTTCCTGCACTGTATTTAGCAACAATGTACTATGTATATTCGTCGACTGTCATGTGAGAATGTTACAATGGAGATCTTGTTGCCATGCAATCTGTAATCACTGTCTTCTTGTGTTCACATCACTACCTATTTTAAAGCTGTAAATCAGCATTGATTCAAACAAAAATCTTGCCCTCCGCCAGGATACAGGCGACTACAACACAGTGGCTTCGTGGCAGGCTATACTTCTCTCCTGTCCCTGTACCCTACCTCTTCGGGAGGAGTTTTCACCTCCGTCAACGGCCCCGATGCAGCGGGCATTGACGTCCATGAAATCATCCACGACCTGGTCGGGGACATCGTAACAGGTACAAAGTCTCTAATCTCCACATAGATACTGGCAAGCAAAAAACAGTTATATTTACCTAGCTTACCTCTTCTGTCACAAGCTGCCTTCCCCATGCTTAAAAGTTTGATTTCAACTGTTTGTTGGGCGAAAACATAATCTACCGTAAATACATCTGCCGTAAATACATCTACCGTAAATACATCTGCTCAACTGGTCAGGAAAAGGTCTGAATTCTAATGTCTATCATCTTTTGCTCGCCAATAGGTAAGGACCATTGGCTTAACGACACCACAGCCTGCACCTATCCTGAGCCTTGGTGGACGAGACCAAAGCCCAACAGCACCGTCCTCCCTGAGATCTCGGACAACTTCCCGCGAGACAAACGTGACTACGAAGGAGTCTACGGCAACCGTGCGACAGGCAACCTGACCATCAGCCTGAACACGACTGATGACAACTTATACTTCAGTCTTGGTCTGATCGGATGGGGTCTAGTTCTCCCTACCGACTCTCCTAACCGCCTTCTCCTCCGGGCTGGAGAACCTTTAGTATATGCCCCCAACATTGTTGCCGATGTAGAAGAAAAAGATGGTGACGTCTTTTCTCTGTCAGTAGAAAGCTATGCTCCTGAACCCCCTATCGTATTTGAACGAGGATTGAAGCTGACAGACCCGGACCCTACAGAGCCGAAATGGGACGACTGTACCGGTGTCTCTGGCTCTCCGAACCGCGCAGCTTCGAGTAACATATTGGTGATTTTCCTCCTTTTGGCCTATGTTTACTACCTAATCTGATTCACAAAAGCAGATCAATCGGCCTTCTTTCATGTCACCGATACTAAGTCACCTGTCATAATGATATTTTCATATGTGCTAATGACACAAGTATAGTCACTATACGTATCTCCTTGTCAACCGGACGAATATAGGGTTAAAAATCAACCGAGCTACAGAGAACTAGTGTTCCATAACCTCATACTTTTATGATTATAAATGATTCACATTGATTAATTATGCAAATGTATGGATTTGCAAAAGAAAACTAAATAAAGGTTACCAAAACCCTAAAGTAGGGTTACCAAGAAGCCCTAAATTAGGGTTTGCAAATAGTGTGCCTAATATAGTGTACCTAAAAGTACGGATTTTTCCTTTTGGTATCCGTGTACGAAATCGACGTACGAAAAATAGATGATTTGTTCTTAAGTTAGGCAATGAAACTAGTGTCTTATAAAAACTATACCATTGAAGACGTCAGTGTGGTATAATGAGATGAATATAAATATAATGAGATAACCCTAAATGAAAGTTTAACGTTGGTCCATAGTTTACTTTAGGCTCTCTTTCCCAGCACGTTCCCGCCTCTTGTCAAATTGTGGGTAAACATCAGAGTGTACGTTTAAGTTTCAAAGTTCAACAAGGCACACCCATAAAATAACGATGTGTCATCGTGATCCGATAAACCGCGTTGTTCATTACAAAGTACAAATTGGCCGTCTGCAGTCTACTTTCTCGCGGAAGATGGGCACTGCTGTGCATATGGTCCTTGTGGTCTGTTTCATGCTATTCGGGCAGACTTTAACCATTTCTGACCCGGATCTACAGCAAAGGCTCCGGGATCTGGACACTTTCATCCAGACCCTGATGACATGTGAGTCCAGGCCTGTAGTCGGTCTGACCGTGTCCGTGGTCAAGGACGGCGAGACCATTTTCGCCAAGGGGTACGGCCAGAGGGACCTGCAGACGGGACAAGCTGTGGACAACACGACTCTGTTCGGAGTCGGCTCCATCTCCAAGTCCTTCACCACAGCCCTGTTAGCGGCCATTCTCGGGGAGAGGGAAGACGTGAACTGGGACACCGTCCTGACGGACATCCTGGGGCCGGACTTCAGGTTCAGGGACGAGTTTCGCACCAAAGAGACGACCCTACGAGATATCCTGGCGCACAAAACCGGTCTAGAAAACATTCTAGAAAATCCTGCTTTTACAGTGGGACAGGATTACGACAGATCGGAACTGGCAAGGTGAGCTAACAATACCATTTCACAGATGTAAGAAAATTCGGTAATAGGTCAGATAGCCGTGCTATTCACTGTATTTAATGATTAATTCTGCTGCCTACAATGGCCTACGTGTGGCTTTACATGTACAGGTTGTCCAGTTAGTGGTTCATGGCGATGTGCTTTGACGTTGATTATGTGTCTTGCAGACGAATGCGGTACCTCAGACAGATCTACCCATTCCGTACCGTCTGGCATTATAACAACGATTTGTACACCCTGGCTGGGCACGTAGCGGAGAAGCTCACAGGGAAGTCCTGGGAGGCCCTCTTGCGGGAACGAGTATTAGGACCACTGGGCATGGACGACACAGTGTACTTGGAAGACGTCCTCGATGACGAAAGTTTCTCCAATTTAGCCCAGACGTACCTGACGTATAACAGAACAGGTCAATCTGTGGCGTACAGTCATGACGAGTTCAGGTAAGCACTGCCTGGTTACTGTGCCGTTTCAGTGATATCCAAACAGATGTTTTTGCTACCTTTGGTGCTCTCTTTTCTAGTACATGTATTGTAATTTCAAGGGTTCACCTCAGATATGCTAACATCTGGAGACTGCCTTTTCATAGCATCTACGTCCGGATGAGATCAACATGCAGAAGTGTTCATTCATGTTATATACAAAAAATCATTTAAACTGATTTGCCATATGAAGATAAGATAAATTTAGAAATGTGTTGTATTTTTTTTCTTTTGTAGGCCTATCACGTTGCATAATCCTGCAGGAGGTGTGGTGTCCAACGCCTTGGACATGGCCCGGTACATGAACTTCCAGCTGAGCGGGGGGAAGAACGCGGCCGGCCGCCTGGTGGCGCCGGAGGACACCTTACGGCACACCCACGTGGCAGAGTTCACCTCGAGTTTTGACCCCGACAAGCTTGAACCTGACTGGCCAGTAGAGGCGGGGACGGAGCAGGGCTACGGGTTGGCGTGGTTTGTTGGCACCTACCGAGGTACGAAATAGTCACTGATGTTCATTGATGTAATTCTCGTTTGGACTTCAATGTACATGTTATGTCATGTAATCCAGGATAGAGGTCTTTCATAATTTGACGTCGGAGTAATTTGCGATGCTGTCTTTTAAGATAAACTGCTAGTTTTCAAGGCAAGGCTAATATGATACAGTAAATTTCCAATCAACTTAAGTGGCTTAAAGATTGGTAAAAGGCGGAAATCTAGAGTGCTATATTTCCTGGATTGTATTTAGCAACAACGTATATATGTACAGTGGTCGACTGTCATGTGAGAATGTTACAATGGGGATCTTGTTGCCATGCAATCTGTAATCACTATCTTGGTGTTATCACATCACTATTTATTTCAAAGCTGTGAACCAGCATTGATTCAAAGAAAAATCTTGCCCTCCACTAGGATACAGGCGACTACAACACAGTGGCTTTGTGGCAGGCTATGTTTCTCTCCTGTCCCTGTACCCTGCCGCTTCGGGAGGAGTTTTCACCTCCGTCAACGGCCCCAACAGTTTCACTGATGATGCAGCCATCGACGTCCACGATATGATCCACGCCCTGGTAGGGGACATCGTAACAGGTACAAAGTCTCTAATCTCCATACAGTTATTGGCAAGCAAAAAACAGTTAATATTTACCTAGCTTACCTCTTCTGTCACAAGCTGCCTTCCCCAACTTTGTTGGACGAAAACATAATCCATCGCATACACATCTGCAGTATGTCAACTGGTCAGTCTGAATTCTAATGTCTATCATCTTTTGCTCGTGCCAATAGGTAAGGCCCATTGGCTTAACGACACCATAGCCTGCACCTATCCTGAGCCTTGGTTGACGAGACCAAAGTACAACAGCACCGTCCCCCCTGAGATCTCGGACAACTTCCCACGGGACAAACGTGACTACGAAGGAGTCTACGGCAACCGTGCGGCAGGCAACCTGACCATCAGCCTGAACACGACTGATGACAACTTATACCTCAGTTTTGGTGTGATCGGACGGGGTCTAGTTCTCCCTTCCACCTCTCCTAACCGCCTTCTCCTCCGCTTGCAAGGGCCGTTAGAGTATTTGCCACTTGTCATTGCTGATGTAGGTGAGAAAGATGGTAGGATCTTCTCGCTGTCCTTACATCGCTTCCCCCCTGAACCGGCTCTACTGTTCGAACGTGGCTTGAAGCTGACCGACCCGGACCCTACACTGCCGAAGTGGGACGACTGTACCGGCGTCTCTGGGTCTCCGAGTGGTAGCTCGCCTAGTTCCATCTTCGTGGTTTTGTTCTGCATGGCTTCTGTCTACATGACCACGATGGTGTGATGCTCAAAAGCATAAAGTAAATGATATGGGTAGTAAAAGTGTCAGCTTCGTAGACTAGAAAATTTCATGTTTTCAAAAAGGTTTTCTGTCGTTGGTATCTGCTGGGCGTTCTGTATAATTTCTTCTCTCATATCAACCATGCTTACTCGAAAAGGAAGACAACATACACAAACAGGGAATACACCTCTAATATTCCTTTATTTTTTTTGTTTATCAAAATTTTGGTAGGAACACGTTACAGAGTTCTCTACATTGGAGGTTCTTGTCTGTCCTCCATGTCTCTTGTGACATCAAAAGGACTAGAAAGGCATGGTTCAGTGGTACTTTGATACAAATTGTGCCTTGATTTACCCATCAATAACTTTCGCAGTGGAAATATAAAAATGCTTTGTCTCTATAATGCCAGTCTATGTAATAAATATCTCATAATTGTTTCATTGGATGCTTTTTACATAAATAAGCTTTGCTAAGCATCCTATCGTTTACCCCGGGTTCTTGAAAATGTTTGGATTGTGTGCATGCTTGCTGACCTTGCAGTGTTACGTATAGGACTTTGTGCAAAACCATGACATTCATTTCAGTCTACTGAACACCGTTTCCGTGCAACAAACAGCAACTATGGCAACTCTGATGCTCATATGACCTATACTATAGCTCCCTCTGTACATGGCCAAATTCCTGACGCCACCGGTGGTTACAAAAGCACTTCGTCTTTTAGCAATTTCAGAAATGCATCATTCTCTGTTCCAATAATGTCTATTAGTAGGTATATGATGCGCAGTGAAATATATTACAAGGCACAGGTCCCAGAGTATGCACCCCAAATACGGGGTAACATACAGGTTTAAATTCTTTTCTTTCCTTAGTCAATTGGGCCATGTACATGTCGTGAGCACTGCTCTCTATCCCATCACTTTTGGCAACATTTGTCTGCTCCCTTTACTAATGTATAATAAACATTTGCAGGTGTCCAACATCAATCAGTGGTGAATGGTTTCTACCTAATACATCATTGCTTCCTCTACAGCTGCCAGTACTTCAATAACACTGATCAGAAAAGCACTGCAAGCTCAATATCAAGTTAGCAGTAGGTAAGCAATATTGTAGTCATCCATTCTTTACAGTTAGCTTTCATAGCAGGCATCAGGGCTTGACTTTTGGGGGGCCTTGTAATGTGCTGTTTTCTGATTGCATCTAAGAATTCTGATTTGTACCAGTGTTTCAATAGCTACCCTGAATACTGATAACCAATCAGAAAACAACACACAATAAGCAAAAAAAGTACAGCTCTGAAGTCTGCTATGGAGGTCTATCATAATAGTAGATGTCTTTACCTATTTCTCCATAACAGACATGAGACATCAAGCAAGCCTCTCAAAGGGTCACGACAGACACAATCACATGTAAATAAAACTACTATGGAAAATTGTCTTAGTGGCAGCATCATACAATAACATGACCTGTGCATCAACTCACCGCATACAATCGTAACAGGTTAGCGCACTTCATCAAATAATGTCATGTACCTTTACTAGACGAGACCTTAAAATTCTCCCTGCTGCATAGCCCTATTACCAATACAAACTTGGTGCCAAAAGGCTGCTTCAGCAGGAAGGTTTAAAGTCATGTCAGACCAACCATTACATAGCTATGGCACAAGAGGTATACTGGAGTAAACCATAAACATTAACATATAGAATATATTGAATAGTATCTCGTAATTATTATTGCAATCTGAACTCTAACAGAAGACAAACACCACTATGGTGGCTGCTCCCATTTAAAAACCATGCCAACAAAATAATCCACGTATGTCCACTTACCTGTCCAAGCCTTGCTAGCCAAGCATTTAGTACTTCACTTTCTTTAAAAATAGTATGACATTAGATGTTAGAATAAGAATACAACACAATGGCTATTGACTTAGAATACATTCATAATCACCAGTCTGGCAATACACCACCACTCGCAATACTGTATCCTTACTATTACTAAAGACATTTCATACAGACTATTGCCTACCCTGATAACCATGACAGGTTATATCACTCGTTACCCCTTCACAACATCTTTGTCTTCTGTAAACACCATCATTACCAGTGTCTTCTGTGGCAACACTGTGCAATGATGGACATAGTCTACATAAAATATACTGGCATGCAGTCTACCATGCATGCTACACTGGTAAATATCAGATACAGTAATACCCTATTCACTGAATTGCATCTTATATCAATTTTTTCCACTAAAAGATACCCAAAATAATAGAGACTGGTACACATTACCAATGCGCCTTGTACTGTACTTTGTTATACGATGTAACATGGAAGATCTAGATATAATACACACAGCACAAAGAATGCCGTCTCTACCAAATGGACAGACCAATACATAACCCTAAGCTTTTAAGCTCTTGTAACTGCTTATCATGAAGAATAAGCATGTGCTCACTCTTCTGTCAGTGTCAGCAGTATTCAAAGCAGAATAAACATTCATAGGAGACTAGCATGTTACATAGTTGCTGTAGTATGAACAATAAATAACTGCAACATATTACTGCATAATTTTTGCAAGAAGTGTTGTACTTTACATAAATAAATATTGGCTCATCAATGGACATTTCGATATTGTAAGCAATGCATATATTGAATAATGTAAATTGCTAATTTCGTTAAAAATAATACAAAACATAGATTGCCGTGAATATATATAAACGTATGTGTAAAAATAAGAATACAAGCTTTGAAAGAAAATAATCAATTCATTTACAAGTTAATTGGTGGGATCCAGATTTGTTCGGCTCGAATAGTGCAAGCTGTTTTACTAGATTGATCAGATACACAAAAGTTACAATACATTTCAGTATCATTAACCATTACCTAGCCAAACTAGCCATACAATAAAAGGTAATATACAAGCACGCTCTCAAAAACATGCTGTCCATACATGTGTCTTTCACACTATCACATACTTACACTGGAATGTGAATATGACTTATTCTAAAGCCTACTCAGACTGTCCATTAGTATGTTACGATACATGAACAAACTCACTATTATGGTTAAGAGTTTATACAGTAATACAATACCACCAAAATGTTAGTTAGAGTCAAGATACATGTATTCAATGCTTTAGTACTTTCCCTTGCCCCCCTCCCACTCGGAAGAAACCATCATAGATGAGGGGGAGACCAGCAGGTGGATGGATCCACTGGGCCCATGCACATGCAAAGATGGCTGCAGACATGCATGACTTCTAACACTGTGGAAAAGAAGAAAATCATAGAAAGAAACCACAGTTAAACAAGAGCCGATATACCTGCAAAATGGAATAATGTAGTACCAAAGGAATGCAAAGACAGCTTTGTCCAAATGTAGTGAGAAGAACTGAAGGGAAGAAATGACTGTAGAATGTTGCTGAACTTAGAGAAGACTTTAAATTGAGTAAAAACAAATTGCATAAAAAAGTTGCGAACCAAAATTGCACATTACATTGTTATGCTTCATTGGGAATGACTTGAATCCACCATCTTGCATAGATGCACAACATGCATATTAATCACCTCAAATTGAGGGCCATTCTAGCAGCTAAGGTATATGTTTTGAATCCTCATCAAAACATGCAGTGTTCACAGTGAAATACTTGGCAATATGGCATCAGAAGTTACAATATACATCAAGTATTTGTATGGCAAACATGTACGGGAATAGGAATTCTTTCCACCACACACTAAGGGAGCACTGTGTTAGTACATGATGCTGATCAAGCAGGTCATATAACAGAGTTACTTTGATTGCACCTATAGTGATGACAATACCACAAGCTAGCTAAAGGTTTTACTTCAAGGAGCTTGCTGTTGTAAGTTTGTAGAAACTTCTTCCTTCTTCGGGGTATCCAAGAACACTTTTGTCATCATTGATACACTGATTTCTGAATACCAGAAATTCTTCATTTTGTTGTGTTGCACAGTGCACAGTCATGGCTGTGTCCTCAATCTGTATGTACCCTGATGCTGTGACAGGTAACATGGTGCTAACATCTAGCAGTACTGAGAACACATGTCAATGTGCAACACTGCCGCTAACTCCTTTCTATTTGTTCCTCCTGGTGGGTCAGGCCTCCTCCCCTAGCTTTGGCACAGTAGCGCTAGAGAGAGAGAGTTCTCCTATATATGCAGCATGGGGCTTGTGCTTCAGGTTTTGTCTCTGTGGCGCCTGGCGCGGGGCTCGGACTCCCTGCGGTGGCTCTGAAACCAGGCAAGTCTTAGTTCTCACTTTAAGACAAGACCAGGGAGTTGACACTTGCATATAACCAAAGTCGGTGAGTTGACAGTTTGTTGGTTGGTGGTGTTGGAACAAAGTTATGTCCAAGACAAGTACCATCAAAGATGAGCTTTCATGCTAACAAAGACGTTACGTTAAGAATAGAGCTACAAATTCTTACTGTATGCTTCAGATATGCCGTAAGTAGAAATGCTAGTCAGAATGTGTTATTGTCCAGGTATTGTGAGCTTCACATATTGTCATTGCAAGCAGCAAAGGGGGCAACGTACATCAAATGAGCTGTTAATTCAAATTGTCATGCTTACATCATGTCAGTGACACCAAAGTCTCTTTTTCAACACCAGCAGAGGGTTAAAGATTGTCAGAGTGTAACAAGTTTGACAGAAGATGCATGTACTTGGCAGGGTACATTCATTGATAGCTGAAGTGCTTGAGTACAATGCCATCAATATCATACCTCTACATACATACCACTTCAACAGCCATGGCTGTTCAGAGGCTTTACCAGTAAGTCTCCACTTCACAACTGAGGCATGCCTGTGACATGCTACATATAACTACCTTGTCCATGCTGACACAAGACTGAAGACAGAGAAGTGGACAGGTTACATGTTTGTGCACAGACTGTATGTCGATGTCGTAAGGAATGTGGGGACAAGGTACAGGATCAGACCAATGGCCCAAAATATGGCTGCTTTCAAGTTCCTTGCAACTCAAGTTTTAGGGTTTACAGAGACAGATATATTTTACTCAAATGATGAGGCCAATCTCATACCTTGTCCTTCACTTCCCCTTGCATGCTGACAGATATTGACATTGTCGGGTATATTGAATGAATGCTGGATAGTACATTGTCATAGCAGCTCCTTTCCAAGATTGCACCCAAGTTGGATCAATGTCCGGTACATCGTTTCTGTTTGCAATACTGTATTGAGATTCACATATTCATTGTATACAATTTTTTACACTTCTTTTCAAGCATTTCAAATTGACCTTGAAACCAGATGTTTTACCAATCAACTTTGAGGTCAACTTGATCCATTGGGAAGAAGGCCATGTTTTAAGAACAGATCATCAGGTACAAAAGGTTTGCTTAACCTTCTCCCTGCTGCTTAACCCTGAAACCCATACAAATCTGGTACGGAAAGAGTCACCTCAGCAGGAAGATGGTTAACTTTCACAGATAAATGTACAGTAACAGGAAAGGTGAATCAGATGATGATGCACAGTGAAAAGGCATTCTAATGGCTTCTACTACCCTGAGAGACCATACATGAACAAGGTAGAATGTGTCCGTGGATGGGCTGTCCCCCTATCAAAAAAGGTGTGACAATCTAATTGCAAAAGCTGTTTCCTATAGATGGCTATCGTATTTCACCTTGTTGCATGTTTGGCATTTTCAAACTTTTTGTTGTTATTTTTACATGTCAACTTTCTTTTGGTGTTGGCCAGGAGGAAGATAGGCAGACACTCACTAGCTCACCCTGACATGGCCCCTATCTGTCACACAGTTCACACTGGGGGCAAGGGGGTCAGTGTGATTTTCCCTTTCTCTGAAGGCTAATACCCTGGGGTACACGTATTAGTAATTCCCATAGTACAGAGCTGATTGCCTCTGCATGCACAATCTCAGTCCTGCCACCAGCAGGCCACACTGAGGTTCAGGGAACAAACTTTGCAAGCAAGTTGCAAGTCGAGATTACTCGAGATTACCTCAGCATCCCACCCTCCGTCTAGCCCCGAGCAGCTATTCGCACAGTGAACCTACACACGTGCCACTGCTGTTGCTACCTCCATGCTAAGAGTAAGAGCACAGAACAGTGGAGAGGACTGTTTAGTGATTTGTGGCTCCTCCTGGCCGATATGTAGCCCCTCCAAAGTGGTGAGAACCCCCTAACCCCCCTGCCCCTGCCCCACCGTCGCGGTGGTGGTCTCTATGCCTCATGGAGGGTTGCCTGCCCCTCGGACTTACTTTGGTAGTGGTGCCACCGTATCGTGACGACATCCGCATGGAACTGGACCTCTTGACGCGATTGCTCTGCTCCCTGTCGAACTCCAGGTCCTCCAGTCTCTGCGTCAGCGCCAGTTTCTGCTGTATGGCCATGCGAAGGAGGGAGTTGAGTGTCTTCTTCTCGTCCTCTGCCGCCGCCAGCTGCCTCTGCATCTCGTCCAGCTGGCTCACGTACTCGTCACAGCGACTCGCAAACATTGCTCGCAAGGAAGAGAAAGTGGCCGCATCTTCCTTGAGGGCCTTGAGTTCCTGACGAAGCTTCATCATGGTCTCGTGGACCATGGACTTCTCTGACTCGTATTTGCTCTTGAGGTTGGCTAGCGCCACCTCAGCAGTCTGTTTGTTGGCCTTCAGCACCGTGCGTAGCGTGGCAATCTGTTCGCGTTTCGCGCTGAGGAGGGATTTCAGCTTCAGCACTTGTTCCTGCAGCTCGGCCTTGTCCATCGCATCCGAGGAATCCACTGGCGACCGCTGGCGCGCAACCTCTACCATGTGGTCAATTGCACGCTTGAGGTGCCTAATCTGGTCCCTGACGGTTTGCAGCAAGTTGTAGCATGTGGTGGGGTCTCCCTTGACCTCCCCATTCTGTGCGGCGGCCCCTTCAGCGGGTCCTGTTTCGGAGGTGGGGCTCTCGGGGCTGGACGGAGGGGAGTCTGTGCCTTTTCTGTGTTGCGCTGCGTCGGGTGTGCTGAGGCTGGAAGGCCGGATCTCTGCCATGCTGTTCCTGCGGGCCAGCGTGGGGCTGGTCTGCCTGCCGTGACCGTTACGGGATGAGAGGATGGGCATCGACCCCGCTCTCAACCTGTGACCGTGACTTTTCCTGTCCTTCTTCATACTGTTCCTGTAGGACAAATGGGTTAAAAAAATTATGTCAGTCCTAAGAAATGTTGTCAGTCCTAAGTCCAGAGAAATAAATGTGTACAAACAAGTGCATACGATCACTCTCAACATTTTCCCTCTACCTTCCTCCCTTGCACCCTTGGCAGCTCTAGGCTATTCTAATGTTGTGTGGGGTTCTACTGTATGTCATATTGTGTTGAGAACAGCCTACCTTCTGGCACCCTTGGCAGTTCTGAGCTATTCTAATCTTGTCTGTGTGTGTGTGTGTGTGGGGGGGATATAGAGGACAATTCTACTGTAATATGGGGGTCATATTGTGTTGAGAACAGCCTACCTTCTGGCACCCTTGGCAGTCCTCATGTGATCCAGCATGATCCTGCTGGGCGTCTCACCGTTCACCATGCAGATGTGGTGGTACAGCTGGGCGAGCTCCTCGCTCACCGTCACCAGCTCATCCTGCGTCATGTTGATGCTGCTCTGGCCCTCGTTCGCCAGCTCGCTCGTCGAACACAGCCTGTCCTCCAACTGTCGGATGGTCTGTTTGGTACAGAAGCAACTGTCAGATTTGTCAGGATTTCAGGACTGTTGCTAAATAGTAACTGGAGTTAGCATGCATCTATGCCAGTCTGTGGGATGGTTGGGGACTCATCCATATGAAATGCAGCCACTTGAATCACCTAATCTCCAAGCAGGTGCATCAGCGAGTCTTGTTTGGTGGGTCTTTTGTGACATATTCTGCATTTCTACAAACAGAAAAAAGTGAAATGGCAGGGACTAAAGGAGAGAGATGTAAAAATGCAAAAAATGTCACAAATGACTCACAAAACAAACCGACTGATACGTCTGCTTGGAGATAGGACTCACCGTTTACAGTAGAACCTCAGTTATCAGACAGCTTTTGTATCATTGTACTCTTTTTTTATCCAGATAACCAGGATTTGGGGTAGACAGGTTGTTGCTTACAAGCTAGTGATGATTAAAGAAATTAAAGCTAGCATTTGTTGATTAGATAATCTCTCTGTAACATCAATGGATTAACTATGTCAGTGACCAAAGTCCACCACCTAATTGTCTCCTCGTTTTACAATCAATTCTGCACACATGTTTGCAAAACCAAGCATTATGTAGTTTAATCGTCCAACCAATCAAAATGGTAGAAAATTATACATGTATTTATATAATTCAGGTAGTTTAGGACAGTCCTTGAAAATCGCAAGGAACCATGCTGAATTGTAAAGCATGAGTAAGAAAGGAGAATAAGAACAAGACAAATAGTACTGAAAGTATTTCTTTGTTCCCTCAATCTACCAGACTACATGTACCTTACAAGAGGCAAAGTGGAATTTTCTGTCTTCCAGATAAGTTGAGGACTTAGGATGTACTGGATTCCAATAATCGAGGTTTCACTGTACTTGTAAACTCACTTATTTGCAAGGAATGTTCACAAAAATTTACCATTTCTCCAACATGATCTCTCTCAAAGAGGAACAATGAGCATCATGCCATTTGACCACAGATATCCAAATCACATGTGCTAGGTAACAAACTGAGGGAAAAAAAGAGGAAAAACCTTATTTTACTGAGCATGTGATGCATTGTGTGTATGCAGTACATTCTGCTTGACAAGAGGAGAAACCAAATGCACGGTAGCCCAACAGCTTTCCTTCTCATGGTAAGACAGGGAAAGGCTCAACAGTAAACAATAGGTACAGGCAAGGGCAGGGCAGGTAGACCTTGTTCATAACACTGCACGTCACAGAAAAGGGTCCAAATTTGGTAGGGCCAGCAGGATCTGACATCTCTCTGCTTTGACATTAACAGCAGTGGATGAGTACAGTGAGTGGTTAGGAAAGCTTGACGTTTTTAGATGCCAAAGTCTTCTGTGGATGCAAGACAAAAATTATCATGGCAGGAATGGATATGTTGTAGCCCACATTCAAAGCTCAGGCTGCCTTGCTTATATGTTACCAGTATAACTTTTTAAAAAGTTGATAGCAAGGTTAACGCATTCATGGAAAAGGTCGAGCAAGAAGCCAGATTGTAAGTGTACAAGGTGCTGAAAGACATGTACTTGTATGTACATATGGAAAGCAACATTGACCAGCAAAGCTTTGACCATGGCCCTGTTGTCACAGTTTAGCTGTGGGCAAATATTCAGCCACATGGATTGATGTTATTGCAGTGAGGAATCAACATTCTCTTTACCATAGCAAGGCTCAGCTTTTCTACCTGTGGTGCAAGGGCTGTGTGGAAGCAGCGGCAGTGATACTAACAAAAACGTTTACATAAGCCAAGTTACTGGATGAAAAAGCTCTTTAATGTTCAAAGCATCTTCCATGACAGCTAATTAACGGTCCTGACCTGTAATCTGTCAAGCAATTGTCTGTGGAGTTGAGAGACTTGAGCCTCCAACCCATGAATGACGGATGCGGACTGCCTCAAACCCCACTCCTGATAAAGGACGAGAGAGAAACCCCTCAAGGAAACTTTACAGACCAGTTTGATGTCCTTACTCCTGCCTTATTAATTTGTAGGCTTTTTTCTTGTGGCATTGGGACTGTTGTTGGCATCTGTATTTAAATCTCTTTGGTTTTTGTACTTAACAAACAGGGAAATAAGGTCCAAAATGCTGACTACAACTTCTCTGAGGTCGTGCAGCAGTTCAATACGAAGAAAATATAGTAGTGGCAGAGCTTGCAAGCAGTGCATTTGTCACCAAAAAGTGCAAGTTATATATCATAACACATAGAAATGACTAAGGAGAGTGCACTGTGCTGTGTCCAGTATTGTGACACGTGTAGTAAAGATATATGCAGTGCAGAGTTGCATCTCAGTTGAACTGTAGACAACAACTATTACGGAAAGCATTATGGCAATAGTGCATGTACTTAGATGTGTATATGCTGGTAAAAGCAAGTATTCCTACAGCAGAGACTGTTCTCAGTTTGTTGAAGTTTGTTCTCAGTAGACATTATGAACCAGTACACTACATGTATTACCGTCAAAGAAAAATGAAGAGGGAACCTTTACCTGTCTTGCTTCAATGTTCCTCTTGTTCAGAGCAGACATCTGAGCTTGCATCTCGCTGAACCTGGACTTGTTTCTCCTGTCTTCGTCTTCCTGACTCTCCTGAAACATCTTCAGCTCCGACTCTAGGGTCCTCAATTTCGCCTGCAACATTTCTTTGCTCTCGTGGTCAACCTGCATGGATGTAGAGGGACAACAATAAGCAATGTACATAAACTAAGTACTATAGAATACAAGTTTAAAAGACTGCGTAGCATCCTCAATTTCACCTGCAATATTTCTTTGCTCTCACTCATCCCTTGCAGATGTGGAGGGACAACTGTATCATTCAACAAAACAGATTGGCAGGAACAATTCAGCACTAGTATATAAGTGTTGACATGCTACTTATTTGTATGTTTTATGCTTACTCTTTCTCTTCATCTACATAGCACAAAATAACCTAACAAACTATCAACATACAGTAGGTAGTTAGTGGCTAACCTTCTTCTTGGTGCCTTCGATCTCCGCAGTCATCTCAGACATCTTTAAGTCCTGCTCGGACAGTTTCTGCTGAGACTCCTGCAAAGTCTTCATCAGGGCCGCCTTCTCCATCTCAACCTGCAGCAGTTTGTACATCAATGAGTCATTGGCTACCATTTCTATTGCAGCTACTTACCAGTTGTGTAAAACCGAATCAAGAATGCGTTTGTGTACATGCATAGTACTTCTATGAGTATGAATATCCATGAAACTGGGACAGTCAGTGAAAAATTGTGCACCCTTGTCAGTCTCAACTGTGACTGTGAAACAAATCTTGTGTTACTGACATACGTATATAAATTGGTTGGAAAAGATCTGGTTGCTCTAAGAAGCTGGACAATCTTTGTCTTGAACTGTCTGCCACACCTGCTTCAACTGCTGCTTCAGCTTCTGGATTTCCGACATGTGAAGTTCGCTGAGGAGGTCGGAGACGAGGCTCGGCCCTGGCTTGGCACCGTTGGTCTCCTCGTGGCCGCTGTCCCGGCTGCCCGCAGCGGCGGCGGCAGCGGCCTTGTCGTTGTCGTAGGTGAGATTGAGGGCACCGAGAGTGTCGTGACTCCAGCTGGAGAAGGAGTCGATGCTCATGAGGGAGTTGAGCTCGCGTCGCAGGCTCAGCTTCTGCTCCCGCTCCTCCTTCAGGGTGGTCAGGGCTTCTTCAAGCTGTGGAAGAATGGAAATACAAGGAGTTACCTCCTGTGGAACATTTTGTCATAAACACTTCAAAGCCTTGTACTGTGTTTGTGAGTGCAGGGAAGGCCATGGGACAGGATGTCAAGGGGAAGAACAAGAAACAACACAAAACAAGATGGCTTTCATACTTCTTTTTCTTCTACAACTATGGATATTTTAGATTCTGTTCTGAACATGCAAGTGTAAATTTGAAAGGACTACATATGTGAGGTGGTGTTGCATACAAAATCCTAGGAAAGAGACTCTTTTCTCACCACTGCTGACCTTGTAGTACCTACTTGGTTGTCCATACAACATAAAGATACTGGAGAGAAAGGTCCTATGCAGCCATGCAAAGTACTGTGCCCACCAACTTTCAGCCAGCAGTAAGCAAGACACAAGCAACACAACACTTGTTGTTTGAAGCTCAGTGTGTGAAGCTTGTGTGTTATGCCGAAGGGCCGTTTAACCTGTTTTCTATTCTAATACAGACATAGATATAAGGAAGCAAACATGCTGCCTTAGAGTTAAGCTCCGCATTTGCAGGCCTCACCAGCAAAGTGTAGATCTGCCTTCAGCATGCCACGGTGCAACTGCAAAGCATTTTTATTGTCCACGGAAGGAAGGAAGGAAGAAAAAGCGAAGTTTCCCTGCTAGTGGGAAGACAGGCTCCACCCACCTTCGGCAAAACCTCACCGTCCCAAAGAGAGCATGCATGGAATGAGCGATGGAAGAATTCGGGAGTGGTTGTTGACCCAAGTAGGTGACAAAGACAGACAGCTTCCAAGATTAACTCTTGCTGTGCACCACCAACAAGTTTGTAATATGGACAATCAGTCTACGAACTGTAAATACTTCCCAGGTAAACTACAGCTACAAAGTGCACATGTGGCAGATCTTTCTTCGAAATCTTCCACAAATCACAGTTTAGCTTTTCACAATTTTCTTTGGTTTGTAAATTTACATGCCTTTCAGTTTAGCAGTTGTTTTTATGTGAGCGCTTGAGCCACAATTGCATGTGGCATACAGTTGAATTTTGAGCATGAGAGCTGTCAATTGTCACCAAAAAGAGTCAATGTGGAGGAGCATGATTGTTCATCTCCACAGGTTAGTACTACTAGTAACTACAATGTAACATACAAGTCCTGTCAACCCCAACATACACACAAAACAGACACGACAGTAAGAGAGGTAAGACTAACTATCATTAACTTGGGTGATTCTAAGAGCAGTGAGGAAGGATAGCATGAGGGTGAACGGGGCACAGCCCCACATGAAGGGACAGAATTAAAGATGTGTAATTATGTCAATCAAGCTGAAAGCTACTTCATGCAGAGGATCCTAAAATGAGCCTGCATGTTTAGATTAGAGAAGCTGCATCGTCAAATGGCTTTACACAGCAAAATGCAAGGCTGCACAACTTGCACAAAACAACAAAAATGTGTGCTGGTATCAGCTTCAAGCTTACAAAATTTGCCACTGGACAAAAAGCCACACTGGTTGTGCTTTGCAAGCAACATCAGGAGTAGGCCAGTAGGGAAGGATTTCTTAAAACAAAACTTTTAACAAATGATTGTAATCAGTTGGGATGAGGAGCACACACACTGTCAGAGCTCAAAATACTTGTTTTTGTTACCTGCAATGTTGCAATTTGTGAAAATTGTACCGCAATTTAGAAAATCTGCAAATAACCAAGCTGTAGTCTCTGTTTCAAATGCAATCTCTTGCTGCCAGGGGCTGACTTGGAGTTTCATTTAGTCAGGCCACTCAAGCCATTGTTACTTCCTCACTACAACCTTGCAGGTTGCAGGTAAGCATTTTGAGCCCTGACTGTACAGGGCCACAGCAACTGAAGGAGCCAAATGGAAAACTCCCGTTCTACATACATTTGCAGGTGGGCTGCCAGCTGCATGGAGGATTCCCTGTTTATGTGGAATCCAGGCGCCAAACGGGACAGAAACACAGAACATGCACAGTTACTGCCACAACTAAGGATTTGCTTGGGGAAGGGAGGAACTCTTTAACAATGGGAAGAAGGGGCTAAAGGCACTTTGAAAAAAGTGAAAAAATGTCAAGCAACTACTTCCCTTTACATCACTGTCAGTACATACAAGTTAGCAGTACTGTTTTAGTGAAATGGTAGGGTCTCTTTCTAACAGTGTTAGTCTAGTGGACAGTGACAATCTAGTGGACATTCCACAAGGCAACTTGCAGTTATGGTTCACAGATGATTTTAGGTCTAGCCTGTGCATTGATAGGGCCTTGTTAGCTCCCAAAGCAGATTGTGCAGATGACATTTTGTGATGCTGTTAATTTTTGGCAGCATCTAGACTGCTCTCTGCAGAGCCTGCTGTGGAGGATAGGTCCTGTGTTGTGAGCAGACCGCCCAGTTACCTGCTTCTCTGCGATCTGCTTCAGCTTCATGGCCTCCTCCATCTGGCTGTTGAGCAGCTCCGTCTCCTCCATCAGCCGCTTGTTCTCGTGTTTCAGCGCCTCATACTCAACCTGCGAGGACTTCAGCAACGACACCTGCAACAAACATACAGAAACACTGAGTGATGGATACTACAAGGGGGAAACAAGAATTTACTACAAAAAGCCACTTGTGGCATTGAGACCGGAAGCAAACAACACCAATCAGATATTTTGCAGAAGAGAGGAGTAATAGCACAACACAGCTGAAGTGAAAGTATCATGATTTGTCTATGTGTGAGTAACCCTGCCTCTGGACCTATAGGTTGAGGATTCAAGTCTTGGTTTTTGTCTTAAACAGTGGCTAGGGTTACAGACATTTAGAAGGAGCATTAGCCCAGATATCTAGTGTTTTGAATAAAGACATACATTGAATATAATACAGATCCTGCCATATTTACCGATGTGTTTGAAGGGTAGGGGAAAGCCTTGTTTGGAGTGCATCTATTCTCAGTCTGTTTAACTGTCCTACTTACAAGTATAGTAAGGGTGCTGGGCCTGTAAGTATAAGGGTGCTGTGCCCGGTAACCCATCTTGCCTTCAGTATGAACCTATGATGGCCAGCCTATGGTTTGTAACTTACCTGTTTCTGTAGTGAGATGTTTTCGTCCTCCAGCTCCCCGTAGTCCTGCATGAGCCGCGCCTCCCGGAACTTGTACTCCTTGATCTCGTCACGCAGACCTTTCCTCTGCTTCTCCAGCGTCTCGATGGCCTGGCAGTACTCATGGTTCAGCCCTCCCAGTCGCTCGTTCTCCGACTGAACGTTACTCAGGACCTGCACAAAATACAAGTTTAACAACTCTTTGTAAAGATTTAGGCAACTACATTGACTCTTTTAGTAAAATGGCCTTGACTAACACTGTTTAGGTTACATATCAGGAAATTGAAAAAGCACAATGTGCTTTTAAGTGTGTTGGGTTCTTTAACACGGTTCTTTAACACTGATGAAAGCCCTGCCAGCTTGGGTTGACAGTTATAGCTTACTAGCTTTTATCTGAACATAAAAGAACCCAGCGGAGTCTCATGCCTTCTCTCCCAACATCTGATCAATGATAAAATCAGTTTGATTAGCATCAATGAGCCTCCTCTATATATCTTACAGCTCAAGTATTACATGCATACACACTACTAAGATGCATATGTATAACTAAACCCACCTGTTTGGCATGTTTGAGGTCCTCCTCCAGGTCAGCTATCCTGGTGATGAGGTCAGCCTCCCTGGTGGCTGTTTCCTTCAGCAGAGTCTCCTCCCGATCCTCCCCATCCTGGGACACCTTCTTGTGGGTCTGGTGCACCTTTCCCAGAGTCTGCAACATACAGAACTACACATCAGCAAAGGTACAGCAGAACAACAAAACATTGTATCATCTTCCAATTTACTCTATCATATGGTAGCAGTCTCTAGCTTGTAATGATTAGCATGGATACATACAGCAATACTACAATACTACAGTGTATCTTAATGATGTGTATGTGACTTCCGCACATATTGTAGCTACTGCCTTAGTCAGTTAGTGCAATATCCTTGTACACAAGGGTATAGAACTATGGCAGCAAACACACTCAATCTCTTTCCCATTTCATCCCTCACTGCTTTTGACAGCAAATGTTTTATGGCCATCTACCGTACGTTGTCATGACCGAGGGAGAGCCAGGTAGCTATTTTCATTTATTGGCATGAATAATAAACAAGGACAGGGCAGGCTGCAGTAAAATCTAATCAGAAGAGAGGCAGGAGAGGGAATCTAATTGAGGGGGAAAATCAGTCAGACTCATTCGACAAATGTCAGGATAAATCTTATTGCAGCACACGGCCACTGAACAAGGGTGAAGTAGCAAGACCTTTTAGCAAATATGGTACACATTATGGAACATCGAAATCAGTTTTTTGGGGAGGAGGCAGAACCTCAAAGTCTTTCCACTTACAAGTCCTTCATCTTATTTATGATCACAAGATTGGACTGTAATTACATACATACAAATCATTGTGAACATTTATATATATCTCCAAGTTTTATAACTCTTTGTCTCTTTCTATTATTTCTCTATTATTCTACAGAGCCCAGCCCTGCATGGACATGTTGTTTCCAATACCCATCTAGGTCAACGAATTCTAGGACATGTTGGTGAAACTAATCTTGATGAATTGTTGATTAGATGGGTTTTTGCCTACCCCCAAACCGCGTAGATTGGGAACTACAGTGTTGAGGAGGTAACAGATGGATGGACAGATACAGTGTGACAGGTTAATGTAATCTCTAGAGCTGACCATGTGGTGCGTGGAAATTAAAGTACCTTTCTACTGGGTACAGCATATGTGTATGTGTTCTACTCAAACTGCGAACTGGGTCAGATGCTTATATGAAGCACTTAATATTGATAACTTAATGTTGCTAGTTTGCTACCAGGTTATAGAGATGGATTAAAACTTTAGTTGGCAGTAACACAATGTCAAATTGTCGTAATACTTCTAATATGATAAGAGAAACAGCAGTTGTCGGTACTTCTTCATTATAGCTTAGACTATATCATTTTTACATATTAGCCCTATAGATCTTGATGTTTTCTAGTGGTAACATTGGCATGGTTAGCTAGGTTGAATGCACATTTTAGGAATATATTAGGAAAGATGGAGCTTGGAAGGAGTAATTTCTACTTGAACAACGTGATGTATGGATTGGCTGGCAAGCAAATCATTTTCCAACATAAAAAAACTCATGTTTCTCTGAAACAACTGTCACAGTCATGAGTGTCAGTCTGTGGTGTCGCATTTTGTGAAATAATGTCCCATGCACCAAATAGTACAGTTACAGACTGTACTTCTACTTCTTTCCGTCCTATTACCTGTGTCTGTAATTTCCTTCCATCTATCCAGGATCCTCTCCAGTTGAAAAGTCAATTTGTTAAAGACCCAATGCCCCATCTCCTATTGGATGATGCATGATTGGAGGGCAATCTTGGATCGTGACAGCAGGTGGCCCATTTTCCTAACAGCATGAACCTTCATAAGTATATCATGATCAATACCTAACAGGCCAAAGCCAAGGCAAGGTGTGACCTATTTTAGCTGATTTACAACAAAGTCATTTCTTATTCATGTCATTATGATTGGCTGTTGTGTGCTTGGCAAATTGGATCTTCTGTTGTGGTCATGAAAGTTTAGTGTACAGAAAATTGCCAAGCATCTTAGGCTTCTTAGCATTCAAATTTATGACATCATCCAGAAATGACTTCTCTTGAAGAATTTTGACATTTGTGTGACTGAAGGTTCTCATAATTTTGCCTTTACATATCTTAATATTTAATCGTGGCACCCTATTCAATGGTATCCACCCTACTCCCTTCTTGTTCCTTCTACCTTCGTACATGCTTTTAAAATGGGGTACATGCTGCAACCCTGACTACAAATTGCTTTCAGTACTACTCAAACTCCACATGGCTGATGCTTCTGTACACATTTCTCCCAGTGAGGAGATTACTCTGGACACATGCCATGAGGTCTAGATGGGGCTGGGCTAACAGACTACAAAACATCCCCACACACATCAGGGCCAATCTCAACACTGGGGAGCATTCTGACCATGCCACTTGGCAGGGCTGGGTGTTAGAGCATTGATCATTTGATTGTGGGCAATTTCAAACGTTTATGTGCAATTGTGATAAATACTTCTTAGCAATCATCTTGATATTACAGGACATTCAGGACATGATGTATTCTTTAATACATGTACGATACTCCAATGTCTTCCAATCAATGAATCTTGCACATTTCTCCAACCTGTTTTTTCAAGTATTCTGCACATAGTAAGTAATGACAAGAACATTGCAAGACAATCTTGTAAGATGCTATGTCTCCTTAGATTGATACATAGATGTATCAAGTTATATCTTAAAAATAGTATTTCAAGTATCTTGGTTATTTCCGGCTTTAGCCGAGACACGATACCTAATACTGCTGCAGGGCACTGCAACTGAGAAAACATCCAAGTCATTTAGAGAAGCATCCATGTAAGCCGATGGCCCTTTAGGTATCACAGGAACTTTCTGAATGGAAGCCTTCCATAAATGAACAGTAGGCATAGAACTGGGGTGAAGATAAATGTTGTACTATTTTGTACTGCATATAAAAGGAAATGTCTTGTTTTGAAGCTGATGTCTTGTAACTGGTGTTTCCACACATGTGAAATTGGTACGAGACTAACGAGAGCCATGTAAGACATACCTTTCCTTTTTACTTTAACCCTTGACCAGTACTCAGCATGTGAGGTATTTTATTATCATTCCACTGTGATATACGATATCCTTCCCTAGTGATACCAACAGTACATATGATTTTATCATCAATGATCACAAAGATGAACAATATAAAAAAATCATAATGACACAGTCATATTTTATGTATCATGAATTGGAAATATTCATTTCACCAACTTCTCAATTAAATGATTATACAAGAAGTCTAAATGATGGATAAAATTAAAGGCAAGTCTAAGGTCGTGGGAATAGGTAACTTTTCAAAAGGTTTTTCAAAATCTATTACATGTACCTCCTTCTCTACAATGATCAACAATTTAGAGACCTAGATTGATTTTTCTGCCCAATATCGTTCAATGTATGAAAAATTAGCTCAGCCCTCTGAAAATACCCAGTAAGGACTTCTGAATAAATTTCAGTATCCATCTACATGTAGACATCATTAGCTGTTGTTACTTCACACATGGATTATTATAAGGCTTTCATACATCAAACAGCTAGACATGAACTTGGATTGAGCACCCGGCAAATGGTGCTCCATTTTCTTCTTCTTGAAATCAAGGTCATAAAGCATACGACATATTCATGGCACCATAATAAATGCCTTATATATAGGAAATCAATACAAAGACGGGCTGCAAAGATACCAGCCCTAAAAATCAATTGTAATCTGTTCAAAGCTCCTGCCCTGGGGAATCAATTCTGGGAGAGTTGGAGAAAATTTGAGATAAGATCATTTCATATGAAATTATACAACTGCTGTGTGCCATTAGATACAGTATGTATATAACGTTATATATATATATAGTATACAGCTTGTGATAGGAGAAAAAATAAACATTAACAGTAAAAGTGGCTATTTCCTTTCTAAAAAAAGTTAAAAAAAAGAATTTTTATTAAGTAGTATACTCTTCCTATATTAAGGTTAAAATCAAGGTGGATGCTTTTTCAAGGACATACACATGTAACAGTAGTACAGTCAGCATTATAAACTCATCAGCTCATCTTCCAGTTTCACTACAACACGATTATTACAGTCGGAATTTGCCAAAAAAATTCCTCAAATTCTATTTGTAGCATCTTAACTATGGCCCGATTCACACGATGAAAAATAAAAGTGTCGGGCGTCGTTCGACGCGAGCGCGCGCCAAGTCGCCTACGACACTTTCCCGTTTACACACAGGGACCGCAGCTCCCGCTTCGCGGCGCAGTTGTGGCGGGCTGTGGCGGTCTGCGTCGCGCTGTGTCACATGTGGTGAACCCAAAAGGTTCCGTTTTGCTCTGAATTCTGTCACAGTTCTACAGCCCGATCAAACAGCGCGTTTCAGCGCTGGTCCAGTTAGATCTGTTGACTTCTGCCATGCTCAGCAAACAAGCAGTAATGCTTTATATAATAGCAAACAATCCGTACAAAATAATCCGAACAAACAACTAACAACAAGTAGAAATTGATACAGAAGTGGAATGAATACATACAAACAGAGAAGCGTGGCGTGGGTTTCAGGCTAGCGCGGGAATGAAGAAATTTGACCTTCTGTGATGCGGAAATGGGCTGCGCGAGCTGCGCGCGACGCAGGTCTGTTTACATGATGTTTTTCCTCGCCGCAGACTTCCCGCTGTGTGCCGCGACGCACTTGTGGCACCTCCTGAAGGTGCCACAGAAAAAACGACACAAGGCGCCGCGCGGCGGTGGCGGGCCTGTTTATACGATTGAAAAATGTGTCGTACAGCTTGCGCGCGCGCGCGTCGAACGACGCCCGACACATAAAAACGACGCACGTGTGAATCGGGCCTTATGTCTACAGGACCACCCTGTTGGTAGGCTGGCCTCTTCAAATCCCTGTTGTGCCTGGAGCTAGAAATATAAAAACTCTGCCCTGACAAAATCAATGAACCGACAGTGTCATTGTTCCAACTGAGTATTGCTGATTTTCACAATTTTTGATAACATTCCAGTGATGGTTAAGACCAGTGCCCTTTCCAACATTTTACAGGATATGACATAATGTAAACGCCAGGAACAAGGTCATCAGTTCTCTGCCATTGCTGGCAT